GCCGGGCGGGCCCCGACCTCCCCGGCTGTCCCCGCTGTCCCCGCGTGCCGTGCCGGGCGAGCTCAGGCTGCGCGCAGGGCGGAGCGCAGAGCGCTGGCACGAGACCTCGCTGAGAGCCTGCATGGCCCGGAGCCCGCGTCCCTAGGTAGGCGCCGCTGTTCATCTTTCTCGCTCCCCATTTTGCTCACGGCTGCCGAGGCTGGGATGCGGCCGGCGGTCCTCGACGCGAACTGGGCCCTGGGGGTCCGGGAGCTGATGCCCACCAGCATCCAAGGGAGTTGCCCAGCCGGAGGGGCATGCACTCTGCGGGCAGAAGGGACGGCGGCCGAGGGCGTTCCGCGGCCATCTCTGGGACCGCGGATTGCGGCCCGGTCAGTGCCCTGGGGGCGGAGGGTGTGCAGGCGAGGGACCTGCGGGGGGTGGGGGGACTCCTGGGTGGCCCCCGCTGGGAATCGACTTCCGGCATGCTCCGTGCCCAAGCGGAGTGCAGCTTATTGGTTGGGGTCGTCCCAGGGGTCTTACCGTGACCCCGGGCTGCCAGAGTGGCGGGGCCACAAGCCAACCCTACCTCCATTGGCGGGTGGGTGCGAGCTGGAGCTGAGCGCTGGGAGGAGGGGCGGACGGTGCTGCCGGCGGACCTGTCTGGCCAGGTGGGGGCGGGGCGCACCTGAGGCCAGGAGCACCCGGCAGGTGTCAGTGTCCAGAAGCTGCAGCCCCGGGTCCTGAAGGGTGGCCATCCCTTTAGACAGAGTGGGAGTTGCTGACCTTGGGTTTGCATTTGCTGAAACTGTCAAGGTGTCGAGGTGACAGGCACTGTGACAGCTTCCCTGGAGCCAAAGAGCAGGTGGAAAACCCAGGTAGCCAGGCTGGAGCAGGGAAGTGCCCGCTGAGATGGGCAGCCCCCCAACCCTCGCGGGTCCTCGTCTGGGCGACACCTGCCTGTGGCCCAAGTGACCCGGGAGATGCGAGCGTTGCCTGGGGTAGGTTGGGCTGTCTTCCCTCCAGCTCCTCCCCGGCACTGCCGGCCTCCAGGGCAGCCTCAGGCACTGCTGCTTGGGCCTGGGCATCTCCGAGCACCTGCCCCTGGTCACCCTATGATCATCAGTTTTGCACTGCGTGGACTCCTCTGGCCCTGAAAGGCCCTTCCCACCCTACCGGGGCTCCGATGCTTCCTCCTCTGCCTCTGACCCTCCAGCTGCTCGGCTGCCCTCTGGCTTGCACACTCACATGCCTGCCTCCATCAGACGGGCCCCTGACACAACAAGATGCCAGCCAGCAGCTCTCCAAGAACTGGCAGGGCACCCCAGCGCTCTCCCCAGTGGTCAGTCAGGAGGCAGCCAGCAGCTGCCCTTCCCTCCGTCAGGAGCCAATCACAGGGGTGTCTGCAGGGTCAGCCGTTGAGGAAAGTGTCCGCCTTTCTCAGGCCATGCCCCCACCAGCCCTCAGCTGCTGCCCCTTCCGTGAGTCGCTGCTCAGTCCTGGCTCTCCCCGGAAGGCCACACAGCCGTCTGTCCACACTGACTGTGTCCGAACATCTGAAACCCCAACGCCGGAGAGTGTGTTCAGTGAACGTGGCTGCCTCTGTGACCCTTCCAGGGGACCCCAAAGTGCTGCTCCCCTCTTCCTCTGACACGCGAATGTGAGATTTTGCTTTGAATATTTTGTCCTCCATATAAATATAAAAAGTACCGAGCTAGGAAGAGGGGAACCGAACACTGGCACGAGAGACTGGCATGGAATTCTGATGACCTGAATGGACATCCAGACAGGGCCGTCCTCAAGAACTGCAGGGGGGTTCCTGCAGAGAAGGGGCAAGCCCCATGGTGAGGGTGTCCTGGTGAAGTCAGGGGCAGAGGAGACAGTTGCGGCTGGAGGTCTCAGTAGCTGAGATGACATTGAAGTCCTGCCAATCACGGCCAGGTGCCCTACCCTCCATGTGAGGTCGCTAGGACAGAACCGTCCTCCTGCGAGCAAGCCTGGCAGCCCGGCAGGTGCCACGCACATGCTCACTGCCAGGTGTAGCCAAACCACTCTCCCCTGCAGTCCAGGTTAACTCACAGTTATTGGTTCACCCCTCTGTCCAGAGACTAAAGGGCAGGGGCCAGATGGTGGCCACAGCCAAGCGCAACGTCACGTGAGACTGACCGACATGGGAGGGTTCTGGTGTACATGCAGAGGCACCCCGAGTGTCCTGGGTGTCCTCACACCCTTCATCTCGCTGGCTCAGGCTGGTGTGGGCCGTGGCACAGAGACCCTGGAGGGGCGCTGTCTCTCTCTCTTTCTCTGTCTCTCAGTATAAATAAATACACTAAAAAGAGACAGACCGAAACAAGGCAGCTGAGGGCTCTGAGACTTTGGATCAAATCAGATTGTGGAGACAGCAGCCCCTGGGTTGAAGTTTGCAAACCAGCCTCTCATTTTCTTGCTCGTTACACTCGATGGGTTGGAAAAAAACACACTGTCTTGTTTTGATTCTGAGAAGTCAGAAGTCTAAAACCAGTTCCTCCTTGGGAGGAAGCGGCAAGAGCAAAAGTCCTCTCCTAGCAGCTCGGGTGCCCGAGGCAGGCGCTGGCTCTGTGCTTGGGCTGACAGCTCCCCCAGGCTTGTTCTCAGCTGCCAAGTGGGCGCCCCCAGCCGGGAGAGGCAGCTTGTGTTTGGGGCCGTTCAAGCAGAAAAGAATACCAGCTGGAGACAGACAATGGAGCCAGGGAATGGGGTGGCGGGTGGCGGGAGGGCTGGAGATGGTCCCTCCACACCTAACTGGTCCCCAAGGTCAAGCTGGGTGAGAATGGTGCGTCAACCTGCCTCTGGAGATGCTGATTAGAAAGATCTGTTTGGAAAGGACCGAGGAGGGGTTGGGGAGCTTCTGGTGGGCAAGGGGCCGCCTCCTGGCTTCCTTTCTCTCCACTGTCCGAATCACCCGCTCTGCTATTTCTCGGCACCTTCCTCCTGAACGTGAAAACCTGGCCTTGCTGTGTGGACCCCCGCGGCTGGTCCAGCATCTGAGTCCCGCAATGGCCGTGTGTCTGGGTAGATGACAACCAAGACGCCCACCTGTCCCCTTCTGTCTCTGGGCCTCCCCCCTGAGGCCATCAGCTTCCTTTGGGGTTCACAGTCCAGGTGTTGGCTTGGGGGCTGGTTCTTTATTGTTTTGTTATTTATTTATTGCAAGTGTTCCTGAAAGAAGCAGGTGCTTCCCCGAGGGTGGCCGGGTCTCGAGGACAGGTCGTCGCATGCGTGTCCCCATGTCCCCAAGGACGCCCAGGGTATCCCCAGGAGCGAAGTCGCTCTGGTGTATCTTACCGGGCTTTGTTACGTGACGCCGATGAGGGCTGTGGAGGTGAATGTTTGCACACACTCGTTACACTAATTAAACAGGAAATTGGACTTTTTTCAACAGAGAAAGCAAATGAAGTGCTGTATTTCTGGTTGTGTTCCGGCAGACCAAGGGGGAAGCGGGTCTCAGACAAAGGACTTCGCGCTCTTCAGGGTGCCGAATGTAGTAAACCGGCCAGCGATCTATTTTAACGCTGGGTGTACTTTAAATCCATGTAATTTAGGCAAATACCCCCTTCTTCTTCCACTTGAGCATGTGTTTACTGAGCAACGATTCAGGGATCTGGCCGAGACCAGTGAATACGTGTGACACTGGTTAGGCTGCCACGGGGGTGCTGTCTGGTCGGCCTCAGGAGGAACGGAGGGTTGGACGGTGTGCCGTGGGAGCACACCGCCTGCTTTGTCCCGTCTACACTGTGGCTCTAGCCGTTGCTAACAGCACCCCCTCTCCCTCAGAAGTGCTCGGGCTTGGATGCTAAGTCGCACGGTCACCCTGGAGAGAAGTCTTGTCAGGGCAGGGGAGAGGGCCGTGTGTCGAGGAGTCTGTGCTGAGTTCAGCCTGTCTAAGGTTGCAGGTGCTGGGAGGGAAAGGGAAGCCCAGGAGACCGGGAGCTCCCGGGGCAATCCTGAGCCCTGGGCTTGCAGGCCGCCTGTCTAGAGCAGGTGTCTGGCATTGGCTCATGGCCCGTGAGCCTGACCAGAGACCAAGGTGGCAGGAGGAGCACTCGGGACAGCGAGCAGGCACGCCTGGCCAGGAGGCCAGCTGGGGACAGGTGCGACGAAGCCTGCTGAGGGCACTGGCGGGGAGAAGGCCCCAGAAAGGGCGTCTCCGAAGGTGCCTTGGGATCTGCTTCCTGTTGGCGTGCCAGCTGCTGCTGGCCCTCGCCACGGGCCGGAGGTGATTCCCTCCCCAGTACACGGCTCACGGAGGGACAATGGCTCCTTCTCTGCAGCTGTGTCCTTGTCCTCCCGCAGAGGCCTGGGAAGGGCAGCGAGGGCGGGGGAGGCTGCACTTGGAAGCTCAGGGCGCGGAGGAGCACCGGCAGCAGGGCTTCGTCCTCCTGGTAGAAGGGTAAACTAAGCGACAGTCCCGGAGCCCACGCGGCTCCCGGGAGCGTAATCCCACCTGACGTCCAACTTCCCCGCTGCCGCTATGTCGGGAGTCCTGGAGTGACTGGCCTTCTGGCCCCGACTGCGACAGTCCACCTGCTGACACGCGTGCCCACACAGTAACCCACTGGCACGTGGGATTCCAGGCTAGCCCACCCCGTGTGAGGACTCAGGGAGAGCTGCCAGCTGGCCCCTGAATGGCGGTGCCCGCTCGGGTTTGAGTTTACAGGGTCATGGGTGGCATCTCAGCACGTGGGCGTGAGCTGCATCCAAATGACGTGTTGTCCTGGCCATGTGGCACCCTCAGAAATGAGTACCGAGTGGGGAGCTGAGCTCACGAGCAGCCGGCACTTCCCAGGGCCCAGTTGCCGAGAACAGAATCCACCCGGCAGAAAGGGTGGGACTAAATGGCTCGCAGGACCTCGGGGTCGGGAAGGTCAGCAAGCACATTCCAGGTGGAGCCCTCCGGAACAGCTTCGGACGTGTCGTACGACCGGCTGCTCTCGGAGCCCCTGGCCAGCCAGAGTCAAGAAGTCCCCAGCGAGCAGGGGTCTCCTGGCTGCAGAATGAGGTCACTTGTTTCTGAGCGGGCCTGGCCAGAAGCCAGCACAGAGAAGCCGGCCAGTAGTGGCTTCAGTGACAAGGGTAAACAGAGTCACAGTACAGGAGATGGGGTAACGCTCCCAAACATGCCAGCGTCCTCGCCCTTGGGATCACGTGGCAAAGGGGACCTTGTAGATACGACCGATTCAGGGACTGGAGAGTGTCCTGGATCTCCCAGTGGGCTCTGTCCTCCCACGTCAGACATTTAAGCAGAGACCCTGTCCCCTCTGTGGCTGGGGCCCACATGAGCATGCCAGAGGTCAGAGAGCTGCAGTGTCGCTGGGTCGGAGGATGGGGCCTCACAGGGAGTGTGAGTGGCTTCTGGAAGCTGAGGAAGCACTGACATGGATTGTCCCTGGAGCCTGCAGAGGGCAACGCGGCCGGCCCACGCCTTGATGGGAGCCCAGGGCAGCCACGGCAGCCTGTTCCCAGGCCTGTGAAATGACAGACACGTGTGGTTTTAGCCATTCGATGGGGACAGCGTGTCACAGCAACGACAGGAAACACGCACAGTTCCCGAGCACCTCTGGAGCCCATGTGCATGGTCTGATGGAGGCCCCCTCGCACGCGGGAGCCAGCACAGGGCTTTCTGGGAAACACTGGCTTTTACTCCCACCTCAGTAGAGGCAGGCAAGCAAGGGGGTAGTGGACCGAGTGCCAGGAAG